CGAATACTTTTTACATCCACTGTATATATATAATAAATGTATTCTATCAAATAAAAAAGTGTGGTTAAATCCTATTCCTGGTCCCAGATAATCCTTGTAAAACTCCGGTCAAGTGAAGCGTAAAGTCTGACATTGTGACCAGTATAACCACGTATTCCGCGGGTGCAGCGACCCTGTTTAGCGAGCCGCAAACGCCCGTGAGTCTTCCGCCACTCCGAGAACTGGAATCCCAACCGAGCCGAAATACGAAAGCAAAATAATTCATCTTCATCATCACTGGTATGTTAAGGTGTTTCTGTATAATATGTCTTGTTTAGAATATATCGTTTATTTTCAACCGAACTTCAGAGCGATGTACTTATCTTACCTGCTTCGTTCCCAATATAAGCAGAATCAGGTAAGTCTAGACAGGGCGTGCTTTAACATCTTAACCCTTAGATGGGGATGTCTGGGTACGTTTGGATCCAAAATATGAGAAATTTCATCGACCATTCTAGTTTGAAAGAACTAATTGAAGCGTACAGTTATATGTAATAGTATTCTATAAAAAGACTAGTATTTTGAAGAAATTCGTCTTAAAATACGTCAATAAAACAGATGAGTAGAGAACTTAACTGGAACCAATTACCGCGGTCTGGTTGATCAACAAAAACGTCCGCCTTTCGAGGGTTAACAGAGCCAGGATCCGAAAATTTATAATAAAGTTACATCCGCAACGCGGGATTAATATGTTAATTCAGTTTTCATGTGATGACCGAGCCACTGTATCAGATCAATCAAAATCAAGGGAATAGAACACATTCAGGAAAATAAAAAAATTGGTTGTTAAAATTCGTTAATTTTTTTTTAGGAAATGTTTCATATATATAAGGAGGTAATGATAATTATACGGTTATTTCATATACATCCCTCAAAAAAGGTTTTGCGCCAATACTATATGAATCTTACCATAACCGCCACTCAAGCAGCTGTAATTTGTCATATTGTAACGCGATTATAGAATTATTTCATACGGTCTTCCGAAATAATGTGTCGCGATGACACTGTATACCGTAAAGCACAGAATTGAATGGACACCTGACTGTTATAAGAAGAATACGGAAGTATATGCAAATTCACAATTTTAAATACCTCCTGGTATTTAAAAGGTAAACGGGAGATCTGACAGTACTGTGTTAAAATATCATAAAGAAATCTTGGAAACAAATTATTGCTATCCTAACATATGGCCCTTAAAGTAACGATACTTTGTACGAAGGCGATTTTCATACGACCGCAACTTCGACGATATTTAGGTGTCCTCGTTTAAATTCCCCAATCTGTATAACTGAAAATAGTCCACTTTGTCTCGTGTTTGGACCCATTTTTATCAAGACACTTTCATCTATTCTGTTGGAGATCGTGGTGGGACAAACACGAAACGTACTAAAAGTCAACACACATATTATTTATTAATCCACATACAATTACAATGTAAACTAAGAAAAAGAACGTAAAATAGAAGTAAGTGTAAAACATGCGCATACGTCAGAGACAGTGAGGCCGCAGTACGAATAGCAACACGAGAGGCGCTTTCCCGCGATCGTCATACGCACAATGCAATCTGTTACTACTGACACATTCATTAAACAAATTTTCATTAGAGAAAATGATAATTATACTAACTTTTATTTTTATACTCTAGTCTGACACTTTTGTTGTAACCGCTAAACTGAAACGGACTGCCGAGTTTTGCGCTCTCACTAACTCGCAGTGTCTCTATCGCTCGGCGTTATTTTTTGAACAGTTACCATCTCGTCTGGTACCACAAGAAAGCTACTCTGCTGATCTGCAATAGTAGCGTCCTCACGAAACTTATTATGTTTACATTTTAAATTTACTACATTTTAATGTTCACGTCTAACATTTGAACACGATGGCAGTATTTGTATTCATAGAATAATACGCTCAATATTATAGTTGCACGATTTATAAACAAAAATCAGTGAAATCTATGACCACCACCGTCAGAATTTTAATTTAAAGAAATACTGCCATGAATTTCATGAATTTAAAGTAATTTCAAATTTTTGAGATCATCAAGTATATCTCACCCTTTGGGGTCAATGTAAATGATTTAGGTTCAAATTCGTATGGAATCATTGTCTTTTCGCATACATCCACTTTGTGATTTCGAAGTACTTTAATTAGGCCAAGTTTGGTTAGTAGATATCCAAAACGTAGAGCTGAAACAAAAATTATCAGTTAATAACCAAGTTTTAAAGGAAATTTTATCCGCGTTCAACAGTTCTGATGCAACTTTTTTCTGCTTGATTTATACATGAAGTTAGCCCACAGTTCTCATACACCTTATATACTCCATATGACAGGCATTAATAGAAAATAAAATGATTTATCAAGTAAAAATATTTAATATTAAAATCAGTGCTGAGAATAGAAGTAACAGATATTTTTATTACTAATTATTAGTTTTCCGAATAAATAACCATAAATTGGTTAAATTACATTTATTTTTAAGCAAGGAGGAAATGAAGAAACGATTCTTGCCGGTAAGCATTTATGTCATGATTTACCGTATACAATTTCCGTTTCTATGGATCGAATCAAAATGCTCCTCCTCATTATGGCCGACCGGTTCGCCAATTTTTGGATGAAATGTTTGAAACGCGATGGATAGGAGGCAGTCATGCTCCACATTTGTGGCCTCCTCGTTCTCCAGATATGACACCACTGGACTTCTTTCTTTGGGGAGCAGTAAAAAGAATCTTTTTCTTTTCAAGCCAAGAGCTTCGAACTGTGCAACAATTAAAACATAGTATTGAACAAGATTTTGAACACTTCCCATCAATACCGAACATTGGCCAAAAATTGAAAAGACATATGGAAATGATATTGAGAAACTGCATGGACCAAAATGGTGGCAACATCGAGGCTGGTGCACAAGCACGACTGTTGAGATTAATACGTCGAAACGGTGCTGTTTAATGGATTCGACGAAGAACCAGAAACCGAAGAAATTAAGTATGTGTATGTCAAAAATATAATATAGTAGGTCTAAAACATAGACATATGTAATGTGTGAAAACATCTAATAGTCATAAAATTTTTCATAAGATTTCGTTTATTGCGCTCCACAGAAATAAGTCGAGTGGTTTCAAATCTGGAAAACGAGAAGGCCACAAAAGTGGAGCAGGTCTGCATATTATCCGTCGCGTTCCAAACATTTCATGAAGAGGAGCACCATCATGCATGAAGTAAATGGAGTGACGTCTGTGGCGTGATATAACTTGACGTAATTCATTCAAGAAGCAAGTCCGTAGAAATTGCAAATATGTTGCACTTGTTGATGATATTAATTAACAAATGATTCCTGCCCATAAGTTGAGAACAAGTATGAAGATTTCTGTAAATGCAAATCTTCGCATTTTGTTGATTTAAGATGCTGTTACTCGAAAAATTGCTGAAAAAACGTGTTAACATTTTGATGTATCCAACAGCAAAAACTTTGTCGAGCGACTTGGTCATTTCATCGGAGTCATACGATTGATTCCTACTCTGAATTATTCCATCTAAGTCCTTTAGTGGATAATCATGAACGAAAGCGATAACCCGCTCTTTTTACGCCGATAGATGCACAGTCGCTCTGCTTCTTGATGTTTAATAAGATGACGTAATATTAATCCTTGCTTACTAAATGACCTTGTCGCTGAAAATCACAACGATATGGAACGTCTTTTGCAGTGTTTTTCGATTATTCCTCACTGAATAATGATATATTTCCTCAGTTAAACTTTAATTTTTTCGGTTGTTTCGACGATAACACGTTATTTAGTCTATATTTCATTGAAAAGTATAAGAACATTATATACAGGGTGTTCGACAACTAGTGGGAAAAAATTTAAGGGGTGATTCTTTGAGGCAAAATAAGACGAAAATCAAGAATAACGAAATTGCGAAAAATGCTTCGTTTGTTAGTTATAAGAGTTTAAAAATTGACCGAAATCATGGCAATCCGCGCGCACGGAGTGTCAGCGGATCACGGCTCAACAGGGGCGTACAGTCACTTTAAAGACTCAACGACGTGCAGGAACAGTCGGTAGAACAGCTGTTTACTTACCTCGTAGAAGATGTCGATAACTTGTGCCCGCGGTATTTGAGTCGAATCCATTTGTATCGCATTAACTCTGATTACTCGAAAAAATTCGCAAGAAATGTAAATACCTTCTTACATCTAAGTTCTTACATCTCTTTCTACGTCCTGTCCACGAGTATCCATGAAATTAATCCGCACACGCACGTACACCACAGAAGTCCGCGAAAAATGTCCACACACACTGAGCCATTGTCCCGTCCGCGAAAAATGTCCATACACACTGCGCGATTGTCCCGACCACGAAAAATGTTCACACACTGCGCGATTAAGTAGACCCGCGAGCTGTTCCTCCGTTGGGTTTAACACTCTATAGGTTACACAAAACTAACACTCAAAATAATTAATTTAAAACTATTTAACACTAACTTTTATACTAATTTTTAACACGATATAATTAATAAAACCTACAATATTTAATAATACCTGCAATAATGAATAAAACCTACAATATTTATTAAAACCTGCAATAATGAATAAAATCTACAATATTTAATAAAACTTGCAATAATTAATCAAATCTACAATACTTAATAAAACCTACAATAATTAATAAGACTTACAATAATTAATTTGCACTATTTATAACGACGACATACGCGACACTACTAAATAATCACTACGTAATCGCTAAATAAACTAAAACTTAGTTTTCCGAAGATGAACTCTATTTGCTCGTAGAATGCAAAGGGCACCGTTCGGAAAGGACGACTGATATTGTTGAACTGATCCTCCCTCGTTAGGATCGATGTGGCGTAATAGGTCGATCCCCACTCTTTCATGGTCAATACTTTTTGGGAAGGAAAAACTGCATGGGAAAGTGTCTTGGAGGTCGCGTTTCTTTTCGTATATTCTTAGAGCAACATCTGTATTTTTTTCTCATACACCACTCGGGGCCTCGAGGCTACTTGGCCACGATGCCGAGGGAGCGCGCGTCTGGACATTATAAAACTGCCTCTTGTCTTCTGCAGGACGACCACCCGCCGATTTCCTGTAACGTCTTACTGCCATCGACGAAGACCTTGCCTATTGTGTTTTCGGCCGTCCCTCTAGACATTAACTTGTAAAAAGAACTTTCAACCTCGAATTCCAATTCCATGTTAGAAATGGTTCATATTACACCGAATGTATGTGTTTAACAATTTTATTTATTTTAGTTTCTTAGTTTCTTCATGCATCGTAATGAAGGTGCGGCAAATTTCATCTTAGTTTCATTCTAATATCATTATACGTTTTGTATGATCCATGTTAATTGCATATTATTTTTTTGCGGAAACAAGAACCTCAAACACTTGGAGTAAGATCGAAGTGGTAATAAAATGTGCAATGCACATAAAACATACAGTAAGTCCATATTCAATATTTCAGGAATAAACAGCGGCGCGCTCCGTCTCAGGTAGCAAGCCGCCTTCGTCGGTCGACCGTAAGCGGCTGGTGTCATTCATACCTGAATGACTTTACATTTAGGGGGTGACTGTGTGGACGAGCTTGTCCTCCGTCGCGGGGTGCCGAACGATGTTTTTAAACGAGTGCATGCGTTAATTGCTTATCGTTCGAAGCTTCGCTCGATAGGATAATATCTTTATTCCTGAAATATTAAATATTGACTTACTGTATGTTTTATGTGCATTGCACATTTTATTACCACTTCGATCTTACTCCAAGTGTTTGAGGTTCTTGTTTCCGCAAAAAAATAATATGCAATTAACATGGATCATACAAAACGTATAATGATATTAGAATGAAACTAAGATGAAATTTGCCGCACCTTCATTACGATGCATGAAGAAACTAAGAAACTAAAATAAATAAAATTGTTAAACACATACATTCGGTGTAATATGAACCATTTCTAACATGGAATTGGAATTCGAGGTTGAAAGTTCTTTTTACAAGTTAATGTCTAGAGGGACGGCCGAAAACACAATAGGCAAGGTCTTCGTCGATGGCAGTAAGACGTTACAGGAAATCGGCGGGTGGTCGTCCTGCAGAAGACAAGAGGCAGTTTTATAATGTCCAGACGCGCGCTCCCTCGGCATCGTGGCCAAGTAGCCTCGAGGCCCCGAGTGGTGTATGAGAAAAAAATACAGATGTTGCTCTAAGAATATACGAAAAGAAACGCGACCTCCAAGACACTTTCCCATGCAGTTTTTCCTTCCCAAAAAGTATTGACCATGAAAGAGTGGGGATCGACCTATTACGCCACATCGATCCTAACGAGGGAGGATCAGTTCAACAATATCAGTCGTCCTTTCCGAACGGTGCCCTTTGCATTCTACGAGCAAATAGAGTTCATCTTCGGAAAACTAAGTTTTAGTTTATTTAGCGATTACGTAGTGATTATTTAGTAGTGTCGCGTATGTCGTCGTTATAAATAGTGCAAATTAATTATTGTAAGTCTTATTAATTATTGTAGGTTTTATTAAGTATTGTAGATTTGATTAATTATTGCAAGTTTTATTAAATATTGTAGATTTTATTCATTATTGCAGGTTTTAATAAATATTGTAGGTTTTATTCATTATTGCAGGTATTATTAAATATTGTAGGTTTTATTAATTATATCGTGTTAAAAATTAGTATAAAAGTTAGTGTTAAATAGTTTTAAATTAATTATTTTGAGTGTTAGTTTTGTGTAACCTATAGAGTGTTAAACCCAACGGAGGAACAGCTCGCGGGTCTACTTAATCGCGCAGTGTGTGAACATTTTTCGCGGTCGGGACAATCGCGCAGTGTGTATGGACATTTTTCGCGGACGGGACAATGGCTCAGTGTGTGTGGACATTTTTCGCGGACTTCTGTGGTGTACGTGCGTGTGCGGATTAATTTCATGGATACTCGTGGACAGGACAATTGTGATACGTGACAACTAGAGGGGGCATTAACCCTCTCTACTCGATAATATTCGTAAGAAGATATTTACATTTCTTGCGAATTTTATCGAGTAATCAGAGTTAATGCGATACAAATGGATTCGACTCAAATACCGCGGGCACAAGTTATCGACATCTTCTACGAGGTAAGTAAACAGCTGTTCTACCGACTGTTCCTGCACGTCGTTGAGTCTTTAAAGTGACTGTACGCCCCTGTTGAGCCGTGATCCGCTGACACTCCGTGCGCGCGGATTGCCATGATTTCGGTCAATTTTTAAACTCTTATAACTAACAAACGAAGCATTTTTCGCAATTTCGTTATTCTTGATTTTCGTCTTATTTTGCCTCAAAGAATCACCCCTTAAATTTTTTCCCACTAGTTGTCGAACACCGTGTATAAGGTGTGTTTAAAAATCATCGAAACTTTAACATCGCTTTTTAATGTGAACGGTTAACTTGAGAATCATGGTTCCCTTGAGACTTTCGTTCCTACACGATGCAATAGAAAAAAAAATTGTTGACCCTTTGACCTTGATTTTCAAGATCAAGATCGATTTTGCGGTCCATTTCTTAAACAGATCTTCACCGATCCAGAGTTAATAATTTTTATACACCTTGTGCCTGTGAAACAATCATTTTTATTTCATCTCAACGTGGTGTGAAAGGATATACAGTAGACTCTAACTATAATGCTATTTTCATGGCTGTAGGAGAGTAAAATGGCAATGAGTTTAGAGCTCCTTCCATGCTAGGTTCTGTCGTGATAGCCTCGGCGCCAGCGCCTGCGCAAAAGCTGGATCGTACTGGTGCGCCGGCGTATGCAACATGGTGGGAGAGCGAATTTTTTGTGCGCGAAAGTACCTGTGAAGGGGAAGTGACTCATGTGGCAATGTGTTCAGTGGCATCAAAGTTAGACTACTGTATTCTATTCTTATAATGAATCATGGTTTGAGAATATATCAATTCTTGAAATCTTGCATCTTACTTGCTTCTTGATTAGAGAATTTTAAGGGCACTTTCCGGTAAAAATTTTCAAAAAATCGAAAAACTTATGTTTGCATATCTTCATCCAACAACAATTTAAGAATTACCAAATAAAATCTCAGAACAAAATTCCTAACGATATGGATTTTACAGGTAGATACGTAACCAAAAGTCGGAACGCAGGTTACAGCCGTCGAGAATTTGAATTACATTCTTCTCGAAACGCATTTTTTGCGCACTGTTGCTGCTGTCAAAAATGCAATTTCTGACAAATTCTAAAAAATCAAACGGAATTCTACTCCTAATTAGATCCGCTTCTGCCCTAACCATTATTATGAATTTCCAAACACTGCATTTTTGTACGGACACTTTTGTGCGAAAGACCCATTTTTCGGTACTCTTACGCTTAAACATGTGGCAATTGTCGTCTAATTGGTTTTTAACAATGAAAGTGCTTTAGACGACAGTCATCCATTCAAAACTAAAGAATTTTCTTCGTTCTTTAATTTTAAATGAACCTGTCTGGAGTTTTCGTGACGATAGTCCACGACTTAAACTTTTACAACAATAAAAGTTAAATAAAAGATTTTTGTTTACTGTACATTTGTAATACAATAAAGTACAACAACTTCCATTACCTTAGATTGAATACTTTTTCTAGAAAAAATCATAAAAGTCACCTACTTTCCGCACGATTTGAACTAGAATTTATTTCATATGCTTTTGCTATGACTCAGTTTCAATTTATACAGAAACTGTGTCTGCAATTTTTTCATCAATACAATACTGTTTACTAAATTATAATAGAAAAAAAAAACAAAAAAAGAATGCAGTATAGAAAAAAATTTGGGAACTCTAGTACCATTGTAGCTTCTAACCAGCGCAACATACAATGTTGATCATATTAAATTTTCTAATAGCGGTTGACCGACAACTTTTCGAATATCGTTACGCACCCTGTTCCTGATCAGAACCCACTTCTTAATCAGTTTGGCATGTCCCTACTTACCATACAGTATACATAATATAATAAGTTCATTATAATGAAAGTTTTTCCCAAAAAATGACTAAATAATTATTAACAATTTTTAAATTTATACGTCAGAATTTGATAGTTCAGAATGAGATAGGACATTATTTACATGATCAGAAATTGCTCCCTCTAGATATCTTCCTTTAAAAATTAAATTATAATTTCAGTATTACTAGTTATACACTTTTTTTAACACCAAATTGAAGACAAAGCATATATTTATTCGAATAATAATATTATTTGGTATTTATTTAATTTTTTTATATATACATTAATAAAAAAGAAACGTGACAGGTACTCTTAAATGATCAGGAACTGGGTCCGGAACAGTACTGATCAGTATCACGTAAAATTAGATAAAATTCATGAACATACCAATGCAATTCCGTGGTCCCTCGCCAAAAGCCAAGTAAGACATGGGATGTCGAGCCGCTATAGCTTCTTCACTAAATCTTTCAGGATCAAATTGATCAGGATTCGGATACATGTTAGCATCGCGATGGATAGCGAATAACGGAATGATTACAGACATCGATTTTGGTATCGTAACTTTCATAGAGTCAAAGGTGTAAGACGAGGTTGCTTTTCTCCTTATGTCTGGTCCTGCTGGGTACATTCTTAGGGTTTCTACAAGAAGGAGAGAAATTCATTTATGTAACAAGGTTACTAGTTGTATTACTAGTTGTATTAATACAAAATATCACGTAATTATTGTATCAATACAAAGTTGGTATTAATATACATATACTATTCATAAACTTATTAGCGCAAAGCCTTCACACTTATTTGATCAAATTACGTACCGAATTGCGAATTTTAATGAATTATATAACGTACAGAGAATAATTGATGATTTCAGTAATTTTCGGCATCGTGTCTGGAAACGGACAAAGTCCTAGAACTCTATCTATTAATCTTGAAGTAACAGAGGAGGGCATAGTTTTGACCAACTGGTTTGCAGCCGGCAACAAGAGCATGACAAGTCATGATTGCTGAAGATCTCCTTATATGCTAATTCTAACGAAACCCCTACTCGTTTGGGAACTATATAAATCCTCTGGATTCAATCCTATTCACTTCAAAATTGTACAGGTGCAGCCGATGGATCCGCTAACGTGAGATTGTAATTTGAAGTATCTAGGGCAGTACGCGTCTTATTGAAGTATATAATTTACTTTGAATAATTTACTTTAGACTATTCTATAGCCCGACTTTTTTCAGGCGTATACGTTTTGTGAGAGTCGTCATAGCACAACGTTTCAACTACGATTTCTAACAGTAAACTGACGCGTTAGGTACAGGACTTAAGGTATAATACCTAAAAAGGTTCGGTCTATTCAATGGTATAAAGGACATTCTTCTGCTCTTTCTACCAGTGTCGTACGACAGAAATCATGGAACAATTTGTGTATATACCTTGAATGTCAAACTACAAAAGTAATATATGAATTAATATTTAAAATTTCTGCGTACAGCATTTCATTAATACTGGACGGTATTAAGTCCCCATCGCCCCGTGCTACATACCAATTACCGTATTCGAAAAATTAAACCTGCAGTTCTTGAGGATAGGGACGCGTACCTACTGTTTCCAGTCCTGTTATCTAGCAGGGATTCGCTACACAGTATCGGATTCGACATACATTTCTGAAGAAGAAACCAACCAGAAAAAATATCGGAACAGGTTTGTATTCGGACAGATCGAGAAAATATCCGTTAGGAACGTGTGCGTGGCATTTTGCCGCCACGCGGCCATTACTCGCCGGCAGTGATGCCAGAATCGTGGTACTGTTTACCCCCACCACTCTCCCACTCCGACGTACCATCGTCTCCCACTATGACGTATCGGCTACCCCCACTTTACGTCCACCGTGCTAGCACACGCAAGCATATCCCAGTCCTGCCGTGTGCGCTGGCCGTTCGAGAGACAGTGAGCTATATTTAGAAAAGAGTGGGGGTAAACCGTACCACAATTCTGACAAGCATCACGCAGTGGATATTGTAAAACAAAACCGAAGTCAAAATTTGTTGGACAGTGTAACTCTTCATTATTCTATCACTTAAACTGCTACTAACAATTCAAAAATATCTTGCACATTATTGCATACAGTCAATTTATATCTACCTTTGATTACTTTATCCAAGTATTTCATCTCATTTATGGTCTCATACTGCAATTCACCGTCGGATTTATCATAATATTCTGTAATTTCTGCACGTAACTTATTTTGTAAGTCGTGATGTAGAGCTAACTCATAAAGAGCATTACTCATAGTTGTTGCTGATGTATGAAACCCGGCCACGAAAAAGATGAAAAGTTGGGCGGTTAAGAAGGTATCTGTTAACTCTGAAAATTATAATTACATATTAATTACCAATTACACTTCTACTTACATTGCTGTCAATAAAACATTACCCAATTTTCAATTATGTTAATAAAAATCAGTTTTCGGTATTCAGAAATTATTTGAAATGCATCAAGTAACCAAATAAGTTCATGCGGTATTGGAATTTCATTTTATAGTAAAAAAAATGCATATACAAGCTTAATCGGTTACCTAATACAGTCATGTCTCGATAAGTGTGAATGCCTTGGTTCGCGGAGTCTCATTCACGCTGTAGGCGAACAGTTGTCAGCACCTCGTCAATCTGTTTTTTGCTCGAAGCTCGAGCCTCGGCAACTTGCCTTTGTAGTGTTCCAACATAGAAAAGGACACGCGAGTGAAAAACAGAAAGAGAAAGCATCTCTTTCTACTCGATTTGAGTTCGTGAGCTCGCCTACGACGCTCCCACGGGCCAATGGTTACGTTGTAATCGCAGCGGTTCGCGTTATATTACTCGATCTCGATGTATTTTGTTCGTTCTCTTCGTCACACAGTCCGATTGTGTGTGTACCGTTTTGGCCAATAATAAAAATACGTAAGACTGGAGGTGATCCAGCTAATTTCATTCGGCGGCAGCACTCTAAGCATTCGCTGACGTTTAATTGCTTCGACGAAGCGTCGTAGATATACATATCTTGTATACATTTCCCCGCTTTGTCCGTCGAGTACGTCGTGCCAGTCGGTGAGAAGAAAGAGTACTTTTTTCGACGAGTTGACGTGACAGCTGAACGAGGGGAGATCAAGAAAAGATTACATTCCCGGATATCGGTGATACAACGCTACTGCACGTTGAAACTTTTGCTAGTATATTAGTGAGATTTTTCTGATTACAATGATATCAAATACGAAATAATTTGAATCATGTTTACTCATGTGGAAAGTGTTAATAGTTCATATTCGTTCATTATCGCTTCTGATAAATATGGACCAAATTATATTGTGTTTGGTATCATTTTAATCAGAAAAATAAGTATACGAACGAATAGGTTCGAAAAATTTTCGCTAACAGAGAACCAAAAACAAAAAGTTTCATCATTGCATTTGTTCCCCTCGTTTAGCCGTCGGTTTGTGAAAGGGAAGCCGTCGCGGCGCGTCGGGTAAAAAATATACGCTTGACTGGTTCCACGGCCCCGTTCCCCAGTGGTGGGGATGATGACTTCAAACGTAACGTGGAGAAGCCGGCTCACACATATCGAGGATTTACTGTAATTAGTGTGTAGACTGAATAACTTTCTGTAGATGGCGCCATTAGTCCCTTTATTATGAGCAAAAGTTACGTTTAGGGGATGTAGCTCGATAATCTTAACCTTGATATATGTTGCTAAGAACACTTCCGACAAACCCCCACGAAATATTAGCCATCGTTTGTTTTTTAGTAAAAAATATTCAGTATCGTACTTCAGTAGTATTGGTAGGTAAAATGACCGATTACGTCGACCTAGACATATACAGTGTCCCAAAAATGTCTTTCGACCCGGAAATCGGGCACTCGGGGGGTGAATTGGAACAACTTTTTCCTTAGCAACAATGTAATCTGAGGCTTCGTTACCGAGATATTAACGAAAAACCGCGACCAATCAGAGCGCGTGTTTGTCAGCTGAATTCCCGTGCTAGCGGTGGCTACGCGCTACGCTTGTACTACGAAGCTCCAAACAAGTAGGTCAGCATGCATCGCAGGAAACTGCGTATAATAGCAAATAAAAAAGACGTAATAAATAAAATCATACTTTTTATCATCTGCTGTTATTTAAACAGATTAATTAATGAAACGTAAATGTAGGAAAATTATGTGTAACGTAAAAAGACGAATGCACCGTCACTTTTTTAAACAGAATGGAAACTAATAATTATTTGAAGAGCGAGGCTTAGGAATTTGTAAATTCCTTTTTCAAATAACGTATTAACGAAAAGGTAATGTAACAGAAAATGAACGAGAAGTGATCGTAGTTCGTTATTGAGATAAAAATCCGTAGTTTAATAACGGACAACAATGTCACTGATAATGAATAAATCTCTTCGAAAAGCCCGAAGAAAATTGTAGGTACAGAAACTTGCAAAATTATCGCCAGGAAAAAGTCATAACTTGCGTTAAATTAAGAAAATAATAATGACTAATAAACTGAATAGAATTCACCCTTACGGAAATTCACCTGCAGCGTGCTAACCTATGTCAGTAGGTCAGTGTATCGAGCTTGGGCATCGACGGACGAAATGGTTTATGGCAGAGTAGAATCTATGCCACACGTGATCGCAGGTATGCGACACCAGCCGACGTTAAGAGTCGCAAGTGCCGCCAGGTTAATCCATCGAATAATTCACTTTACTTCACGACCACCAACACAAATCACCTGACACGATCACTTAATTTACTTTACATCGAACCTGTTGTTCCTACGCAATTCCAGCACATCGCGCGTACCACCAGAAGATACTAAAATGTTCGAGTGGACCGAACATATCTCTGGCTCGATTGCTACGAGACTGACAGAATTTTCCGAAGGAGTTCCTACACCTCCAAGTACTTTCCCATCGTTACATTGTGAGTTGACTCCCACCACGTCAAGATTTAGGTAAAAAGAAACCACGGTTCTAGGATAACACGTGCTTTGCAGAAGTGCAAGGAAAGAACCGTCGCGCAGTTTTACTAAAACGCGTAGCCCGTTAATTTATTGCCAGGGTACCTACTGCTTCGAGATAGAAAACAGACATCACGTGCATCGGCTTCAAAATGTTCGAAATAATGAGGACCACCAACGTACCCGTTGCTTCGAGTTAGAAAGTACAATGTACATTGTTTTCCTCGAGGAGCAGGGAAAACATTTCACCGACACGTGTGAGTTGACACTGCTTGGCCCTGTCCGACCACCTTTGTAGAGGCCGGAGCGGACTTTTCGGTTATTTATGGCTCAATTTCTTCGGCCTCGTAGCAACCGTGAACTCACAACAGGATTGACAATCGCCAATTTTATTACAACTCTGTGAAATTGTAGTTCTCATGAAAATATTTCATACGTACTTTTTGTTAGTATTCCGTCAAATATCTCGGAAATTATTAGAAATATAAAAACCGTATTCGTTAGACTCTTTTCCGTAAAATAAGCCTATCGGTAGGGTGATGCGGTTCATATTAAAGTAGCAGTAACCTATTGAAGACAGCGGTGCTCCCCGGTACTCAAAGGCGGCAAGCGCATGCGTTCGACTGTCGCTCGAATGTCGCCTTTGAGTACCACTGCCAGCGTCGCAGATTTTACTAAAGTATTTCGCTCTTGTATTGAACACAAAACGTGTCTTGTCATTTCTGTTAATACTTTCCGAAAGAAAAATATTTACTGTATCTGCTGACGCAGTCAGATTATATCCTGAACCCTTACTTTTTGAAATAAATTGAAAAACTTCTGTAAAAATTGGTGCATTTCGGGTGTACATTTCCCTTTGACCGTTGTTCAAACATGTTTAAATGCTGATAATGCGATAACAACGTATACCATTTTATTCGCGAGAGTTTGCAGAATAATTTGACGCATCAAGCAATTGAATAGTTATTAATGTTTGAACACAGGAAATGTTCAAAGTTGAAAATTTGCATTTTCTTAAAAATCAAATTTCTCGTAAACTAATGGTGATGACAGAAAACTGTTTACGGATTCGTATTCAGCACAGAAGAATGTATAAGAATCAGTATAATTGTTCTTTGGGACAAAAATCATGTTGACAGGTGTTATCTAACTTCGCGGCGGAACGCGCTGTACGTGCTCGCCGCGACGAAGCTGGCTTTTTGGCGCGCATGACATCATGCCGCAGCCCAGCCAATCCTGAACACATGTAGAGTTACATTATTTCATATCAAAATGAAATAATAATTCAGAATCAAAGTAAAAATGTGACATATCAAACATTTCTCTAGCGTACAGAATATTATGAACGAAATTCGAATACTGCCAACTTGCTTACCAATGTTTTCTAACTGTTCCGGATGTTTTCGCAATTCTATTAGTGTATTGATAAAATCGGGTCTGAAGAAATCGTGCTCCTTCCTGTATTGTATGGTATCCATGACGAGCTTCGTGAAAAAGGGAGCAAATATCCTGTCTGGTACTATGTATCCGAGTAAGTCGTACAACTTGGGACTGAACCGTCGAACTATTAATCGTAAACTATTTTCCCTGGACGGAGCAATGAATTGTTTGGCTATTCGATAAAATTCGCTTTCCTGTTCCTCCATCGCGTTCATATCAATCCCAAATGCACAGTTACCAATCACATTGGTCGTGTATTTCGCAGCCACATCTCGAATGTCCACAGGCACTTTCTTTGAAAGTTTATCCAAATATTTTTCTAAATGAACCGAACATCTCAACATGATGGGGAACATATCTTTCAGTTTTTTTGAGCTAAACATCGGTGAGAATTGCTTTCGCAGCGGTCGCCATCTTTCCGACTCCAAAAAAAAGAGATTTGGCGATAATGGTTCCGTCTGTGAAAATTGTACAAAAAGATTGTTTTTCAACTCATCGTGTGATCATGAAGACTGTTATATTTTAGAGCTAGGTTGACAATTTTTCTTTCCTACGTCGCATTTTTGCTATTGTCTAACATCTTCCCTTCATCATACAAGGGCGTAGCCAGGGGGCAAGGGGTAGGACGGGGGGCACTTGCCCCGCCCTGGACGGAAAAAAGTGACTTTTGCCCCACCCTACAAGAAAAAAAATTGGACATTTGCCCCCTCACCCTTCCCACAGTTACAAAATTTTCACGTGATATTTAATATTGCAGTATAATTTGAAACACGACCAACAGCCTCTATTGCTAAAACGCATACATTTTCAACGATTTATGACTTTAAACACAAAATAAAGTGTGTCTATGGTCTGTTTTTCGCAAGATGATGCCTGGGAGGTAGGCCCGAGTTTTCGCGGTGTTGCCGCGATCGCGAGACACCTACGGTCTTGTGTCTCTCTCACTCCTCGCGTCTTGGCTAACGACGTCCGACCGTCGACGCGAGTCCTCGCCTACGGTTGTCTGTCTGTATCACACGTATTACAAACCTCTCGAGAAGGATCTACCTACAATCTCAAGGAGTGGGGACTGCGTTCGGCACGTGGCCGTCAATCATCCATTGTCTGGAAATGGCGGAGAATGTTGACAAGACGCAGAACGTTTTCACACGTCAAAAGTTAAAATACATGAATAAGAAAAAGTTTATTTCTTTTAAAAGAATGTATTGTACCCAAATATTGAGCAATATATTAAAAGGAGATTAAATTAACATGTAGGTTATTAAACGCTACACGTGGAAATCGCAGGGTAAAGAAGGAAGTTGGTTTACCGAGCGTCTGAGCGAGAGGCTCGCGTGCCGAAGTGCCGGAGGATGGAAAGAGACACACAGTGGCATTGAGACCGTGCAACGTCGCACGAAATACGCAGCTCGCGTTGGATTTCCGCCAGGCCACGCGCCGAGGCAGGCCAACCTCCCAGGCATCATCTTTCGAAAAACAGACCATAGTTACGTACAGCTTTTTTCATTGTGGCAGTCGTCGTGTCAATATTTTTGCCCCCTCCCCCCTTGCCGCCCTGACTGATAACCTGGCTACGCTCATGTCACCACATACAATTTGAGACTTATAAACATCATATATCTGCTTGTATATTGTTAACCAAAGTAGCGGAGATTTCGGATGTGTTATTCAAATAATGTACTGTTATCGATATTTTGTAATATAATGACTGTAAATGGTGATACATGTATCCATATCAATGCAGTGAGAAAATGGATACATTAGCTTAAATAATAAAAAGAGGGAAACCCGTGTGATAAACCAATAACCGAACGGCATCCGAAACTTGTTAAGGGGGGGTGACTCCTTCGGGGCCAACTCCGAATCGATGGAAGCGCTGATGTAAACAATCGGACGCTAGCGAAAACACATTATCGATAATTGGGACGGCTTGATACAGTAGATATTCGTTTCCGCGCCACCGTTATCTGTACGAAAGCCACGCCCCTTGCTCACACGTATTTCTCACACACGCGCGCGTACCCTACTCTGTCGCCCAGCACGCCCAGGCTGCAACACATACGGTGTCGCGTTTAACTCGCATATCTCATCACGGAAAGCGCAGTTTATATAATACTGTTTTGATAATGTTTTTATTGGTGCAATGAATATTGGTGGCAATTTGATTGCTTCTTGTCTCGGGCATCACACGTAATGGGTAAAAGATGCTAACTAAGCCAGACATTTGCCACTGAAGTATGTCACGAATTATTACCTTTTTCACATAATACCTTAATACTTTATCACGCAGAATGTTTGGAAGAATCGATTTATGTAATTAAAGTATTTTATTCCATAATATTTCAATATCATTAATAAAAATAACATAATTAACTTTGAAAACTTAGAAGATAGTCCACCTACGAAAAACTTGTTACTGCTAAGTAATAGCCCTCTGAATAACTTCTGTGAATGAACTTTTCTGATATCTCTAAAAATAACGGAGATAATTAATGTAACCGTAAAGTGCGCATATCCAGCCCACCCTAGATGTAGCTGTGTCGTACGACTGAACGACCGAGTGGTGGGGAAAGCGCTCGGGTAACTGGCGTCTGCTTCATGCACGGTTCCTGGAATTCTGGCCCGCTACAGTCCCGACTAGTGCGGGAAACGAATGTGTTGGATTTTGAACCCCTCTGACTCCATAGAATCTAGTTCCCAATTACCACACTCCTTTTGTACCCCGATGAGGGAATAAAGGTACACGAGTGTAACAAGAAATAAAAACATTTAATGCACTAAGAACAGGTACGATACAACGCCGAAGGCGGTCGATGGCAGTCTGTCTACGCACTCCCTCAGTGCCCCTTCTTCGCTCTCCTCCCTCTCACATCACGTAACCACCGCTTCACTCGCTAGGGGAAAATGGTAACCCTGCTCCCCACAAATGTCTACTGTAATACGACATCTAACGGCCGTGCCTACAAATAAATTGTCTTCCCCGTTACCATAAAGTTGGGTTTGTGTATCTGCTACGCGAAGGCATTGTTGCCCGACAGTGTTGATTTTTGACAATTCTGCCCACCAGGAGAACGATGGAATACCGACGGCTCGTGGCGAGATTTCGATTCTCGCCGAACGTAGGAACAGAATGGTGCGACTGAAAGAGATTCGAGAATGAAACAATACTTACGTACTAATGTATGCAACGATAAACCTTTTCTATCCTTACTTGCAATGATGCTAATTTTATTTCATTAATGAAATTACATACGAAATACTTGAAATGGCATTCCCGAGAAATAATAGTTATTTATCATTTATTGACATAATTAATGCAGGTGTTGTATATGTACATACACATATATTTCATAGAGAGGACGCAAAAAGAACACAATTAATCGCATATGTTATATCCTGTATTCTCAAAACCTCTTTTCATTGCACATTTTTATCATATTGATTTCAAACACGAACAACGAGCAAAAACCGACGATGCAGCGACACGTGGAAACAGTGGGCGTGGTCGTCTTTCGTCGAGACGCTGACGGAAACGAAAGCGATTCTAAAACTCCGCTTCGGCGACCATCGTGAATCATAGCCTGTTGCTACCCCGTATCATGCATGTTTTCTAACAAAAAGGTAGGGGGAAAGAACTTATAAAAGGATTGCTCAGAACCGGGGCAGCTCTTCTTGTTTTTCCGGCACTCTCGGTTTTCGGCTCGTGTTTACTCCGTGACAGTTTCGGCTCGTAACCTTCAACGGCTTGTTCGTCCGCTCTTCGACAATCGCGCGCCGCACTAATCTCTTACACGCGACAGCGAGCTGAGCGATAATGGTCACTCAGCTGTTCAGTTTCGGGTTTCACGACGATATCTCTTCCTGGTACAATGCGACCTCGCGATTACGCGCGGCCTACAGACGAGTTTTATAAGACACCGGACCGCGAAGTGCAACGTTCAAGACGGCGACAACGTATCCCGCAGTGCCTAAACCCTGTATCACGGCTCCGAGCGCCAGAGTCTTCCGCCCTTTCAAGGACCCGAAATCCCAATAGAACAGACTAAAACCGACACGAACCTATCATTCATCTTCATCACCATTGGTATGTTAAGAAATATTTGTATCTTTTATTTTATGTAATTGTTAGAATATATCTTTGTTATTATCATAAACGAGAGTTATTTCGTATTCCTCCCATTCCTTTTACAAACCGCGTACTTCACCGGTAAGTTTAGACAGGGCGTGCTTTAGCACCTTAAAAGAGCCAAAACCCGAAATTATAAGTAGAGTAACGACCGCATCGCGGGACGTAACACATACAATCTCTCAATTTTTTCATTCGTCGCCCAGCGGGGATAGATTTTGAACTAACACCTAATTGCTGCCACATGCGTACTTAGCGTATCATTTTCGCTGCGCCCGCACCTAGACTGTAATATACCGTGAATGAATAAGCAGCATAGAATTTTGGATAGTGCAATATGAATCACATCGATACGAGGCCTTTTAAACTTTTTTGTCTGCTTCAGCCCACCGTCGGCTAAAGAACGGGAAGCGCACGTGCTGACATTGTCGGTTGACTGTACCTTCGAATAGCTTTGGCCAGATGGAATAAACGCGCTGCTGAGCGCCGAACGAGAGGTCGAGGGCTGAACGTGAAAGACCAGCGACCGACGATCGAAATACAATGTAAACAGATAAGAAATCAAACGCATGAATGAAAATTTAATCTCTTATAGTTTTCAGTATACATTCATGAAAGTGTCACGAATGAACTGAAAATATACTCCCGATAAAAATGAGTCCAAATTCGAGCGGAATTGAACAATGTTACTCATACGTAATCGGATAAAAATGATATATTATTGAAAATACTCCGAATGATGTATTTGGACTCATTTCCACCGGCAGAATCTCCTCAGTTCATTCCTGACACTTTAATGAATGTATACTGAAAACTATAAGAGATTAAATTTTCATTCATGCGTTTCATTTCTTATCTGTTTACATTGTATTTCGATCGTCGGTCGCTGGTCTTTGACGTTCAGCCCTCGGCCTCTCGTTCGGCGCTCAGCAGCGCGTTTATTCCATCTGGCCAAAGCTATTCGAAGGTACAGTCAAGCGACAATGTCAGCACGTGCGCTTCTCGTCCTTTAGCCGACGGTGGGCTGAAGCAGACAGAAAAGTTTAAAAGACCGCGTATCGATGTGATTAATATTGCACTATCCAAATTGCGCAACGAAGATGATTCGCTAAGTACGCATGCGGCAGCAATTGGTTGTTAGTTCAAAATCTATCCCCGCTGGGAGACGATTGAAAAAATTGAGAGATTCTATGCGATTAATTGTGTTCTTTTTGCGTCCTTTCTATGAAATATATGTGTAAGTACATATACAATACCTGCATTAATTATGTCAATAAATGATAAATAACTATTGTTTCTCGGGAATGCCATGTCAAGTATCTCATATGTAATTCCATTGATTAAAAAAATAAACATCATTACAAGTACGAGTAGAACAGGTTTATCGTTGCACACATTAGTACGTAATATTGCTTCATTATCGAACCTCTTTCGGTCGCGCCATTCTTTTCCTACGTTCGGCGAGAATCTAAATCTCGCCACGAGCTGTAGGCTATAGGCCGTAGGTATTCCATTGTTCTCCTCACGGGCAGAATTACATGCGGCACATAAGCCAACAGCGTCAGAAACATCGATACTGTCCGGCAACACTGTCTTCGCGTAGCAAATACACAAACCCAACTTGATGGTAACGGGGAACAAAATTTATCTGTGGGTACTGTCGTTAGATGTTGTATTATTAAGCCGTCTCAAATATCGATTCTGTGTTTCCGCTAGCGCCCGATTGCTTACATCAGCACTTCGATCGATTCGGAGTTTGCCCCAAAGGAGTCTCCCTCCTTAAATGTTGTCAAAAATGTATCGACGTTGGTGGCGATTTTGTAGAAAAATGATAATATAGTGTTACCATTTATAGCTGAATGTATTACCAGCTTTAGCTACATCCGCTAACCGATTACTTAAGTGTCTTCAGTTCCGAACTTGTTATTTACGTAGAGACGAAACTTTTCAACCCACCTTCGTAATTTTACATGGGAAAAAACTAACATACATATTTTGCTTTGAGTCAGTCTGTGTAGAAGTTATACTTCATATTTCACATCATCATTCATGCATCTATATTTTCACTGGTATGATGTTTTCTCTTAGGCCATTAAATTTTCCTGCTTTCAACGAAGCTAACGGACAATACTCTGAACTCTTTTATATGAGTACAATAGTTCTATATTCATGTATATTTAGTAGTAATAACAATAAGCGACAGTGTCTCGCATGCTTTGTCACACATTTTTTAAACCACAATTAAGTATAACAAATCTTATGCAATTTCTATTCACGCGTCTTCATTATCATTACTTCAGTCACAATTCTGTGATAAATTTTCCTTAATGTTGCAATACAATGCAAAGTTTGTTAAATACTATTGTCAAATAAATCTGACGACTTTCCGCAAATTAATTTGTGTTTCACTGTTTTAAATAGATTGACATCAATCTCAGATGAAGGACAAAAAACAAGGGACGAAACTAAAAATTTAGAGTGAACAAATTTTGTCACGATATCCTATAAAAATATGAAATATTCACATATACATGTTCGTATAAATACCCTTTCGTGAACGTTAAGTCCTCGATCAGCAAATTTGTTGAAGTCCCGGATTAAGACATCTTTTATAAGGTCTGGATCATTCAGAAAGAGAAGAGGCTCTCTGCACATGTATATTCCAATCATTGGTAAATGCTTGTATGTTTCATAAGTGCTCTGCACGAATTTTGCCAATGATATTCTTTCAAACACGAGGTCCTTAGCGTTACCAAAAAACGGCAGGGGCTTTGGTCCAGACACACCGCGCTTTTTCCAGAAATCATAAGTGGAGACACAATAGTAATAGAAGACAAGGAATAGAACCACTGCGGCGCATAGGATTTCGAAGTAACTCGCCATTGTTTTTTCGTCTTTTGTTAGTTGCCGGTAGGAAATATTGATCTACGATTACATAAAAGATAATTACTTTATTTAAAATAATAGTATATTTGATTTTGTTACCAATATTGAGAATTGCATTATTGAATTGACTGAGAATAGTGTTGGGCGTAATTCGAATAAAGGTTTATTTCAATAAAAATAACGAATAAATAACTATTCATTCACAAGGAGCAGGTTAAAAAAATGGGTGAAGTTGGCCCCCACATTTCATTCAAAAATTTAAAAAACATCGCAGCACTATTTTGTAATCATTCTGTACCGCGTTGTACCGGTGAGAGTTTTCTAAAATTAGAAACTGCGTTCGAACAAAATTGGACAAACCAATTACGAAGATAGCCCCATTTCTGAAAAAAAATCGTTTCTCTAGATTGTATTGCATCGTTCATTTCTGATTCGACGGCACTGGAAGTAGCGTGTAATTTGCTAAATTACGGGAAAAGGTGGTGGTGAAATATTAATACTTTTAGCTATTTGCGGGCTATAATATGGATTTATATATGCACCATTTTTGTTATTTTCAGCTTGTTGTTTACAATGTAAGCTAAACTCCACCATGTGAATATAACTTCATCGTTAAAAACGTTTCGTATGACTCTAATTCATGTTCTTCGGATTTAGACTCGTACGTGGAATCGTAATTTTTTTCGGTATTTGTCATTTCGGCAACATTTTCATTGCCCTTAATGACATTTACCATGAAAATGCGAACCTCTTCCGTTTTTTTTTTTTTTGTCCACATTCATCTAAACCAGGGATGCACAGACCGCGGCCCGTGGGCCGTATGCGGCCCTCCGTTGATTCGTTGGCAGCCCGCCACACCATGTGTTATTTTAACTTTTAACAAGTCACACGATAGGTGATTTTTACAGATTGCAACATGCGTACAACAAAGTAGCTGGCAAAATTCTATTGATTACTCAACTTTACGGCCACATTTTATCCTTTCAATGCAAGTTAAATCTATTTCAAACCCAATTAAAGTCAGAGAATTACGTCCATTTTCCTAATTACTAGAAAATTCCAGAAAAGTTCAATGCCAACTTGAAGACTGTATATGTTAAAAAGATTGATAATTTCATATCAGCCTTCAAGGATCGTTTTTCAGATTTTCAAAAAATAAAACCGTTGCTAGATTTATTTCGCTACCCTATTGCCATTTTGCTCGAAAATGCGCCTGAGTCAATACAGCTTGAACTCATCGACATGCAAAACGATGAGAACCTGCGAAATGAATTTAATAAAGAGAGTTTATTAAATTTCTATCGTTGTATATCGATATAAAACCATTATAAATCGTTGATAGATAATGCATTAAAATGCGCAAGCCTCGGTGGGTCAACATATATCTGTGAACAAACTTTTTCAGTCATGAATATTAACAAATCGGAAAATTGGAACCGCTTGACTAATGAAAATTTTGCGCTTGGCTACTACAAAAATCGAACCAAATATTAACACAATTGTTAAATCAATGCATTGTCACGCATCAAATTAAATTATTTATTTACTTTTTATTATCTTTCTTTGTAATAATATATAATAAACATAAACAAAATAAATAACATATGATAAATAACTTTCATGTATTTTTTTTGCTGCCCATCCCATAAGTCACAGTGAATTTATGTGGCCCTTGATCTTAACAAGTCTGTGCATCCCTGAACTAAACCGTATGTCTGTATTGTCTGTGTGTACCATAAAACTAGTAAATGTTTGACCAAGACTTTACAGTTCTCAAAAGCTGTTTGTTTTAAACCCGTACTTATGTATATACGTTAAAGGTTTAAAATAAACCTTTTCTTTCACGTGCAACTGATAACTATAATGTGATGTATAAGATTTTACTTTTTTCCTTGAACGCAATCTACCCAGTGAGACTCACAAATCTCTATTTCGTCTTGTTAAGCATATTTTCCCAATATTCTAATTTCTTTTCAATTAAAACTAGGGTGATGTCAAACATTTCCCGGGTGATATCACATTGGTACAACCTGGTACAATCCGGTACAAAATGATACACAGCAGAAATTTTTAATATTGTTCATTTGGTAGATCTACTTTTCTGGCTTTGTTTCTTTCTTCGTAATCCAAAGAACTATGAAAAACTAGCACAGCTATGACTTTTTAATTTTTTACATAATAGGGGGTTAACTCACCCACTAGTTTCACTATGTCACCGATGAAGTCACCGTGTATCAGTTGAGAATCGGCTGTTCGAGTAATATAACTCATTAACCCATTGCGCCCGACGTATTTCACACGTATTTGGCCCATATTTTCAACAATTAAAAACTTGGAATCGAAGCCTCTAACGCAATTTTGTTATTCTTAAATGTGTTAATTTGTCATCTAAACTACACCCTATGAATGTCCCACATTTTTATTAGCATCCTGTATGTTTTCAAGACCGCAAGAATTTCATTGTTGGCAGAAGACACATTAGTCAAGCTTCCGCTCTATTTTCTTATTAACACCGTGCTCGACTTCTCCGAAAGTTAGAACATTATTGTAAATTACACAGTTACTAAACACTCTCTAATTATGACAAATTGTACAACAATTATACAAGAAATAACATTTCTGTAATTATTAACTCAGTTAGATCTGGAATAATTTTCTAATTTGTGTTACCTGGTTGCTGTAACGTTACTCATGTCAAAGTGTACACCCTCGAATTGTTCCACTTACTGAAACGTGTTGTACATGCTTTTATGACATCCACTATTTCCTTATCTCCTTGAAACTGATTGTGTAAAATCTGCATGAAAATTTTTTGCCTTGTAATCCATACATTGATTCACACAGGAGGGTAATAGGAAGTAGTTAAATTTAGGATTCTTCCAGCACCTAAAATATTAAGGGGTCAATATTCTTTACGTTTCACGGAATTAGGAAAGTGGGACTAATTAAAGGTAATACGATGGAAAATCTATATAAAAAAAGTATGCGAAGAGGAAGGTGCGTAGAGCGATAAATTGGAAGGTAGAGATTTTAGATTATCATGACTTGTCAACGAATGTATGAAATGCAAAACTTCGAAGGCCATTGTGTAGATAAAAGTAAGTAAATTTATCATATCTAAAACAGGAAGGTGAAAAATGTTAATTAACAACCACAGAAAGCGATAAATTAACGATACAGGCATTTATGAAAATGTCTCTGTATGTCTGAAAAGTACAATAAAACGGCTATTACCGTGTCACTCAATAAGAAGCTGGCTCTCTTTCGTTTGCGATTAGAGCTTTCCTTTAACTGGGAATGCGTTTGTCCAAATTTTTTTTTAAGATGGATGTAGGCTTCACATATTTTACAGATACAATGTGTTAATTAAGTTTGCATATGAGAACCAGCCACTATATCACATCCATCGTAATGAATCGAATAAAACACATACAGAGAAATAAAAAAATGTTTAATAAAAGTCGATGGTAATTTTCTTTTTAGGAAATGTTTATCACAGATTAAGAGGTAGTGATGATTATAGGATTATTTCATACAGTTCCATAAAAAAAGGTTTTGCACCAGCACTATATTATGAACGTTGCCATAAATGCTACTCGAGTAACTGTAATTTTTCTTAATAAAGGTACCCTCCGGTAAAAATTTTTGAAAAAAATCTATTTTTTTTTCCATATTTTCATCATATAGCATCTTAAGAATGCTATGTTAAAGTTTCAGTCAAAAATTCGCAGAAGTATAGATTCTACAAGCATATATTTACAACACCGTCATTTGACCCTGACTTACAGCATAAAGTGACTAAACAAAAATACTCGCACAAGCCTCCATTAGATCCAGAAATACATGAAATTGGAAAACCAGTATACAAAAGCTTAACTTCTAAAGAACTTTTAAGACGTTGTATAGGAAAAAATACTCAGAACAATAACGAAGCATTCAGTAAGTGTATATGGCAGCCCGCTCCGAAACAAATGTTTTGTGGAAGAAATGTTCTTGAAATTTTGGCGTGGATTTCGGTATGCGTGTTTAACGAAGGATGCGAACCTTTACTAACAATTATGGACTTATTGGGCATTAATATCGGTCGCTACGCTAAAAATTTTGCCCTTAAGAGAGACCTAGAGCGCTTCGCGGAAGCCAACCGTAGAGTCGTAGTACGAGCGCGTCAAAGGAAGATTAAAAAGCTCGAAAAAAAGAAAAAAGTGAATTGGAAATGGAATATGAAGTCACGAAAGGGTTGTTGTATGGTGCAGTAATAGCTGATTAAAGGTAAAAAAGTAAAACCCTTTAACATTGATCTTTGTACGTATGATTAACTCGAGAATAAAAAAAAAACTTTAAATGCGTTTTTCTTAGAACGCGATTTTTTTCCACGGGCGCCACGATAAACAGTTGAAATATAAGCCGATTTTAAAAACTCTTGCGACATTTTGTTCAGAATTCACGTCGCTATCGCGTTACCTACTTATTTACTAAATTTATGCATGAAAAAGTCCGTTATTTTGTAACATTCCGTTTAAACACGTGCCAAAGATTGCCGGATTATCTTTTTGGATTGAGGATAGGTAAGGCGATAGCCATTAATATGTATTTTAAGAATATTCTTGTTCTTTTTATTTAAGACGATCCTATCATGAGTTCTGATGGCGTCCGTCAACACCTCCAATTTTTACAGTAATACAATGAGTGCTATATATTTGATGGAAAAATTGTTATCATTTAAAGAATAAAATTTTGTTGTATTCTTCAAATATGTAGTAACAATGATCAAACCGGATTTTTACCATATGTTGTTCCATTGTCTTTTTATAAATTCATGAAAATCACGTCCTTTTCGAGCGTTTTGACCGGAGGGTACCCTTAAATAAGTTATTTGAATTATTACAAGAAACATCCGATCACTATGAGTATCATCTTAAGAAAGTAACTATATGTCATGAGAAATTAAACTGCAAAATCAGAGATGGTAAAACATTTGCTGTAAAGTGTGTAAATTGTCGAGGAATTAATGCATTATCTGCAACATAATTTGAATTTCAAACGGCTGACTAAGACAACTTTATATTCACTTTACAAATATTTTTAATTACTTATTTCTTTAAAGGGCTATATACAATAGTATTGTCTAAAAAATATGTAATTTAGATATTGATCAGTTTCATACTGATCATATTCACATTTATTTCTTATTTAGAGTATATTTAGGAATTTCTTGACAAAACATTTTTGCAGTAGACTAAAGAATTATTTTACTACTAAGACTTTTTATTACAGTAAGTAGGATTATAAGAATATTTTAATGTAAAATTATTCTACTTTCGTTATTTTTAATACTACTCCTCCTTTAAGTGTTAACACAAACGATTGGCTGTCAGGCACATACGGAATCCTCGTTTTTTCACATACATCGACTCTGTGCTTACGAAGAATCGTAATAAGTCCAACCTTGGTCTGATAATCCCCGAAACGGGCCCCTGAAAATACGTCATGAGAATAATGTTCGTTGTATACCTACGTTTATAATCGAACTAACTCATACAATCTATGCAATTCCCGTTATATGTATAGAAACTAGCGGTAAAGTAATTTTATTGATTACGCTTCGTATACCTGTATTTAATCTGTAATACCATACCGATGATTAATTAATTATTGGCCGAAACAATGAAAAAAGAGATTAATGCAGTCTTATATACAGGGTGTCCCAAGTACAGTGTTAAATATTATTTTCTCCGAAATTACAATTATTATTTTCTCCGAAAATGCAAAAAAGGGCAGGGGTTTCCTAAGAATAGGGAGGGGACCCCCACGCCCTCTTTTTTAAATGGAAAAGTCTATTACTTGTTTTGTATTTGGATAGCTGTCGTAAAATATTACAACGTTAGTTTGAAACATTTTTTGATATTCCGTAGTTAAAATTTTATAGTAAAGCATACTTTCCTCGAGAAGAACCTTGGGGAGCAATGAATGAGATTAAAATAAACGGAATACGGTTGATATTCATTTTATTAAATGTTTAAAATGGTGCCCAGTACTTTTCAAAAATTTATTTATTGTTTTTATCATATTATTCCGAAAATTTCACAACATCTTGAAGTGATAGATTTACGTGTGTTTTGTATCCTTCTTTTCATATCTTCCTTCGATGCGCTATAACTCTACTATACGAAATATGAAACAATGTTTCGAACAAAGGTTGTAATATTTGGTAACAGCTATCCATATAAGAAACAAGTAATAGCCCCTTCAATTTAAAAAAGAGGGTGTGGGTGCTTTCCCTTCTTAGCAAACCCTACCCAAATTTGTGGTACTCAAAACGGCAGCCCCGTTGCACCGTTTAATTTAAAAGGAACTTCACTTCGATATTCGCAGTAGTTTCAGAGAAAACAGCTTGCAACACTTTACGTGGGACACCCTACATATAATACTCTTTTATATTATCCTTCTCTTAGGTAGTACTATCTACTGTATGTACGCGTAATTCTTAAATCTTTATGCAATCAAATTGCAGAATTTGCAGATCTCTGTACATTATTGATATTATCCATTAGTTAGTTAATTTCATATGAACATACCGATACAATTTCTAGGTCCATCGCCGAAAGGTAAATAACTCATAGGATGTCTGGCCGAAACAGCGTCTTCGACAAACCTTTCAGGATCAAACACTTCAGGATTCGGATAAATATCAGGGTCCCGGTGAATTCCATACACAGGTATCCATATATTCGTATTCTTTGGGATAGTAATATTTGTTCCTTTAAAAGTGTAATTTGTACATACTTTTCTCATCAATATTGGCAGGAGTGGGTACTTCCTAAGAGTCTCTGTATAGATGAATATGGTTCATTAAATTTATGTGGCTATGAAATTCTCTTATATGAACGAAAAACCAAACACTTTGTCTATTTGAAATTTTTGTATAATTTTATTTGTTTTCGAGATACCTACTCAATAATAGAGATTTTCACATATAACCATAAAAACGGTTTTCACGATCTAATCAGGAACATCAGCGAACAAAAGATTGATACTTTCTGTTTTGCAACAAAATCGGAGGTTGTTAATTGCTTGATATTCCTTATTAGGTCAAAAATATCGATATACACATGTTCGCGTACTTCTCAATTTTCCGGAGAATTAAGCTTCATATAAGTAAGGTTTGGACGTATTTCTGTGCAATAAATTATATTATCCGCGATGGTATCATCATTATTGTCTAATAATAAACTTCGTCCAGTGATTCACACATTCGGTCATATACTTTCGAAATAACAATGAAATGTATAAATTTTTACTTAATCCTATTTAGGTATCCTCATGTTCCTTATTTGTTCTGTAGCAAATTCTGTTGTCTTGTTGTTGAAATAAATTTTCGCAGTTTCTTATGTAATTTGCACAGACAAATGTGACAGTCGTCATGAACAACTTTGTAAATTACTGTGTATCTCATTTGAAATTACCTCTGAACACGGAATCCAAGTACTTCATCTGTTTCACTCGTTCGTATGTCAAAGTTTCGCCGTGTTGCGCAAAGTTCTCCCTGATTTCCTTTCGTAATTTATCCTGTATATCAGTGTTTAATGCTAGTTCGTAAAGTGAATGACTTATCGTTGACGAGGAAGTTTCAAAGCCAGCTACAAAGAAGACGAACGCCTGCGCCGTGAGTAACTCATCCGTCAGCTCTGGAAAGGAATGAAACAAAATTGCTTTAGCAGGATGTGCCTCTCATCTTGGAGCAAGTCGACCTTATTGTTAATTAACGCGTTGACAGTCATGGAACATCTACATCAAACAATGGTAACGCTTGTAAGGCATTCAGTAGGGGAGAGTGGGTAGATTTGGGTCAGTTAGCATATTATATTTCCATGTGTTAGGCATACCTTACTCGCAAGTCAATTGTTCGTTGTTGCAGCAGTAGGAGTATTCATCACCTGAGCGAGAAGTTTGTACAGTGGGAATTTAGTCTTACGCAATAGAGTTCTATTACTATGAACGTTCGGTTCCGGGAGGTATGGGTCAGAAGCGACCAAATAAGGTAGTTAGTGCGAGTAGAACACAGAATGTTATTAAATTCGATATTGACTTGAGTAGTTTTGAAAATTTACATTAAAAATTCAGTTAACAGTTTTCAATATCTTCATGTATGTTATGTTATTCTATCACAGTCTTTATTTTACGTTTATTATGTTATTCCTTCAGAGTCTTTGTTTCATTTATTTATTTCATTACTTTTATATACATGTATTATTACTTTGTAGGTAATAAATATATGCATACATAAAACTTCTCTGTATATACTGCAAAAACAATACAAAAATTAAATGACCCAAACCTCCTCCAATAAGGGAGGTATGGGCCAAATAACTAGTTGTATAACTATTATATTTTTAAAGATTTCTTTGGAATAATAAAATGAAATCATGATGGAATATCGATGGTAAAACCCTACTAATTATAATTCTTCAGATGTAAAGCGTGTTTCTCTTTCATTTTAATCATTACCACAAAGTAATTGAAAACTGACCCAAAACTACCCACTTTGCCCTACTATTCGTATTGGAACAGAAACCCGGAACGTTGCGCAAAATAAATGTCAATAAAATAAAAAATTTCATAACATATTTCATTCTTATACGAAAGTCGCTTGGCAGTGAACAAGTCAACACAGGGGCCTCGCGATTATTGACTCTTTGTTGATATGCGATTATTGTCCAGGCATCATCCCACCACTGGGGGGGAGGGAGGCCGTGGAACTCGTCAACCGCATTCTTTGTTGCCGCGGCGCGCCGAGACGGCTTCCCGTTTACGAGCCAAAGACTGAACGTTAGGAGCCCACAAAAAGATTACATTCCCGGGTGTTGGTGAAAGAATGCTAATGCAACGATAAAACTTTTTTTTATTTTTGGTTCTTCATTAATGAAATTTTTATGATCATATTGATGAGATTTTCCTGATTAAAATGATACCACACACGACACAATTTGGGTCATATGTACTTACGATTTATCAGAATCGATAATGAACTAACATGAACTATTAACACTTTCTACATGAATAAGTGTGATCCAAATGATGTCATATTTGGTATCACTTTAATCAGAAAAATAAAAAATAAAAAAGTTTCATCGTTGCATTAGCGTTGTCTCGCGCGCCGGGCAACAATGTATGGTGCTCGATGGATTCGACGAACTGAGCGGGGGAATGTACGACGATTATGTAGTCGAAATGTTCAATCGTCAGCGACTGCCCAGAGAGCTGCCGATGAATTGAATGTAGCCGAGTCACCTCCAGTTACACGTATTTTTATTATTGGCGAAAATGGTACACGCACAATCGGACTGTGTGGTCGGCTATAATGTGACCATTGGTCGGCGAGAACGTCACAGGCAGGACACGCAGCTGAGTCGAGTGGAAAGAGATGCTTTCTCTGTCTGTTCTCTACGTCGCTTGTCCTTCTCTATGTCGAAAGACTACAAAGGCAAGTGCCGAGGCTCGAGCTTCGGGCAAAAAAAGGTATTCACGAGGATCACAAGCGTTTTGCGTGGTCCACGATTATAGTCCCTGCACGGATTCGAGTTCGGGACAATAATCGCGAGACTTTTGAGTATTGACTTGAGTATTGACAGCAGCGAATTTCTCGTAAAGTTTTCTCCAGCTGTCATTTCTTACGAACGGAAGGTTCGATTTTACCAAAACTCATTTTACTGCTAATATCAATAGCTGTCCGAAGGAGCTATGCAATTAGTATTTAATAAGACTTAAATTGTCCACCTAGTCCTACCTTTATGAAAATCGTGTCATTTTCATATATTTTTCTTAATGTACTGTAATGCTTACGTTTTTAGAACTTAATATGTGCTTACATACATTTCCGAACATGTTCACTGAATTTATAACTGGATTGTAAAGTAAATACATCCGCTGTCTATATTCTAATTTCCGTTAAACCGCCTTGAGGACATTGTTTCAGAACGAATTATATGTAATATGGATTTCGTGATGGGCTGAAACCTAACTCGAATAAAAAAAGCAACAAATAATAACATTCAGCGACGTTTTTAAGGGTAAAAGAACGTTTAACTATTTTTTTTTAATTTAGTTTGACTTTCACAATGTCATTTGGATAATTCTCTGTGATAACATCAACGAACTCGATGACAAAAGGAGGCAGACAAATTCATTTAGAGTTTCACATTACCTGTTCTAGGATACACAGAAACCAAATAGAAATTTTGTAAGTATGACTTTACTTACCAATACTTTTCAAGTTACGCGGGTCCTTCTTGAGTTTCATAAGCATGTTGATGAAATCAGGCCTAATTATACTATTCTGTTCCCTGTAATTCATCGTATCCACGACGACATTCGTAAAGAAGTTGGTAACGTGAAGTTTCTGAAGTGGGCGTCCCACTATTTTGTACAAACTAGGAAAAAAGCTTTTGCAGAGGTCTTTGATAAAACTTTTAGTAGTAGGGAGAAAGACCTGTCTACCCATGCTACGAAACTCGCTGTCCTCGTCGGAGAAGGAATTCGTGTCGATCCCAAAGGCGCAGCTGCCGATCACATCGGTAGTGTATTTCGCAGCTATTTCGCGACATTCGACAGGGTCACCCTTCGATACCAGTTTCTCTAAATACTTTTCCAAGTGCTGCCCGCATTCTGCCACGAGGGGAAACATCTCTTTGATTTTGCCAGACGTGAATACTGGCGAGAGCCTCGTTCTCAATAGCCGCCATCTTTCCTCTTCTAAATTGAATAGGTGTTCGCAGAGTGGTTCCACCTACGAATTTGGCAAGCCATTAATTAACATCACATAGTCAGATATTTAGAAGATATCACACGACTAACTTTTGTATTTCGGAAATGTGCATATTAAGAAAATTCTTGAATCTTATAGCAAAAAGGATAGTGTCTTTTCATGTCAAGTTCCGCGATTTTTTCAAGCCATGCTTGTATCAAAAAGATTTAACAACTTACTAGATAGGTGGAGCATGATCATACAGATTAACGACGATTAACGATTATACATATACTACTGCTCATAAGTTTGCCGAAGTGTGAACGAAGAACTACGGTGTAGGCGACGTAATTCTTACGTCAGTTTTCGCCGGCTTGACTTTAGTAAAACAGAATTGAAAATAGAAGTACGCGTGAATATATTAGCGAACCTTTGTCGTTAGTGTCTACTTATGAATACCTTGGGATATAGCTGTATTCCTCGATCAGCGAAAAGTGAGAAATCCTTGATCAGGATATCTTTAATCAAATCTAAATCGTTAACAATCAGAATTGGTGCTCGTCTTACAAAAATTCCAAACGCTGGTTCATGCTTGTATTCATTGTACATCTGTTTTAAGATTTCACCCAAGAACAAGTTTTTCATTATCATTTGCCGAAGGTTGCCAAAGATGGGCACGGGTCGGGGTCCGGATACACCACGATTTTTCCAGTAGTTGAAGTTTGATGTAAGATAATAGTAAAGTAAAAATAGTATTACCGACACACCGCATAATGTAACGAGACAGTCCGTCATGTTGTATCAGCAATCTGAAAAGAAGAAATAATTAGAAACAAATAATGTCAACTTGTTTCTTTAGAAAATAGTTGAAAAGAATGTAATGATATTGTTCGATTGACGTACGCCATACTGTTCGATTGAAATATTCTGTTAAAATTTGTCCAAGTTTTTGAGATTTAAAATGGTTGGAAATAATTCTAATTTTAGTAGAAATTAATTTGACTGATTATCAAATAGATTAGAAAAATTTCAATATTTATTGAACTAGTTACAAATTTTTACGTCATTCTACATGCTCCACAGTGTGCGTGGATCCTGTACGGCCGAGATCTATAAAAGAAAGTTAACGGAAAATTGACCTTATCCTTACAATTCAAGACCAATTTTTCTTTTATTGCATCGTATTCTACTCATCATGGGGATCAGAAATCTCAAAAGAACCATGGATCACAACTCAACCGTTTAGTTGGAAAGTGATCTTAAAGTTCCATTAACATTTAGACTAACTTTATTTAAAATGTGCTTACATTTTTCGGTCAGATGCAGGGTAAATAGAATTTATTGTCGCACGTAAATACTTCGAATACATTATTACATATCCCATATTTTCTTTTACTCCTTTCTTGCTATGACACGTTCACAGTTCGTTGTCCCATATGCATGTGTATCTACAGGGCAGCGTACTCTCAGCACACACGCCTTCTTTTCTATAATTTCTATACATACATATAGTAAAGTCGCCTGAACTGCTCGCAAAGAGATGGATGTGACTGCCCGCACGTCATCCCCTCCATTGGGGCGATGGCTCCTGGAATCATTCAAGCGAGTTATCTAACACGCCAGTGGTTTCCCTTTTATGAACGGACTATCAACCTAGAAGCCTATGTGCGCAATTAAGGCGACTTTGCTGTATGGGACAGCTGATGTGTGAGTCGGGAGTACGCTGAGCTATACATATGCATATGAGACAACAAACTGTGAACGTTCTCTAGCAAGACAGGAAGAAAGGAAGATACGAGATATACATATAATGGTGTATCTGAGGTATCTAGGTGCGACAATAGATGATATTTACAGTAAATCCTCGACGAGTGTTCGAAGGGTCCTCGGCACTGAACATTAAATTTCTGGTAAACTAAAATAGTCGTATGCGGCTGAAACAAACATCATTAGCTCCAGAACTTCAGGCTCTATTACTGTACTAGACCTCATTAAAAAGTCAGCGTTACACCTGAGGACCTCCCCCTGTCAGTGCCAAGGAGCCTTCGAACACTCATTGAGGATAAATGTAAGCACATTGTAAATAAAGTTAGTTCGAATGCTAATGGAACTTTAACATCATTTTCCAAGAGACCGGTTGAATTGTGACCAATGGTACCCTTGAGATTTTTTATCCTCATGACGAGTAGAATACGACGCAATAACAGAAAAATTGACCACCGATCCAGAAGTAGAATAACGCTGTGGTAGACGTGACATATAATTTTCAAACATCTGTACATTTAATCTTGTATAATCCATAATTATGGATACTTTTATCTTTGATACGCATTGTTGCTTTTGTTATTCCACGATTGTAAAGCATTATCAGTATTCTTTAGGATATGCTGATAACTGTACTGAAATTACAAATATTTCACTGTCTTCTTGCATTATAAGATTATTTTCAAATATACTTTTTAATGTTTATATAGTGTTATTAATTTAACAAATGAGCAATCTAAAGTTATTACACACACTAATAATTTAGAGTAAATTGTTGTAAATGTTTAGCAAATATTCTAAAAGATCTTCATGATATATCTAACAAATTAAGTATATTGTCTTCATTGCCGTATCATTTCAGGATATCATATACAATATTATAATTCTATCAGATGTGTGACTGATCTATGTATATACAACAGAAAGGCGTAAATAATTCTCAAAAAATAAATACGTATATAATTCGAGGGTTCACGTATGATGTCTAGAATAAGTAGACACGACAAGTTATTTCTAAACACGATAGCCAAGTCCTGTTCAATAACAAAGGTACTCTATGAATATTTAAATTTAATATTCTCAAAAACGGACTTCCATATAACACAAATTTTATTTTACATTCTAAACATAATTTCATACCACGGTTGTTCGTGAAAGCTAAGAATAAAAGGGTAAGTCAATACTTACGTCGTGAGTATTTTCCTTGAGACAGGTCTGCTGAACTATGCTTTAACCACCCACGTATCGCGTGTGATCACTGTAACGCTTACCGTTCATTTACAATCAAATTTCAGACGGCGATGATTCATGATAAAAACAAAAGCCAATAAGAATCACGGGAAATTCAATTTACTTTGCGTTAAAGTTATCGTCGACTAATACAAAAATATGACTTCGAGTGTGTTTCAGAAATTAGAAATCGTACTGAATAATGCAAATATATGAGAATAAACACAACAATAGGCAACAAACACCTCGAATTTTAATCTTACTGCTCGATGTGTATAAAGGCACAATGTTTGTTGCAGTAAGCAGAAATTAAGAAACAGAATGTCATATAGATAGAAAAAAGTTAAGTTTATCTTGTATACCTCCGCTACCTCTGACGAAAAGTGAAACCAGTCTTTCGAAATCTGCAAAATTTTCTAGAAAACTGAAGTATGGTAAAGATAACATAAAATACTTAAACCTGTGTTATTTATATCTTCAAATTGATATAGTTTTCCTAATTAATGATTAACTGACACTAAAAGTAGATAATACGATACTTAATAATCTAATTAAATGGCAAATGTATATTCCCAAACCTGAATACAGAACAGAATTCAAAAACTTGAATACACTAAACACTCTAAGGCCTCCGTACCAAAAAATAACAAGAATGCTGTCGGCAAGAAGGTCAGTTGAAACTTTTATTAGTTCAATTATCTCATTTTACCAGTTTTTGGTATCGATAGAATTAAAATTTTTGACATTATGATGAAAGTACTGTGAAGAAATAAGTAATCTGTTGAGTCATAACTACGGAGTAAGTAAACATAAGCAAAGTAATATTTCCTTTTCCAGTATACAGGGTCTTAATAAAAACGTGGGACAATTGCACAGGGTAGATTTTACACACCAAACTAAACCGAAAATCAAGATTGACGAAATTGCGTTTGAAGCTTCGTTAATGAGTTGTCAATTGTTGAAAATACGGGCAAACGCATGAAATACATGTTGCTCGGTAACTGACAACTCGAATAGCCGCATAGTGGGACGAACCGTGTAAAAATTGCAACATGGACGAAAATTCCAATTTTGGATTTTGACTTCTTCAGCTATCTCTATGTAATCCTTGAACATTAACGGACAAGAGATCGTAAAGAAAAAAATTTTGTAAGTTGTTTAAAATCTGATTTTTCAACAATTTATGCGTACACTATTCGAGGCACCTATTCTTTAAATTAAAACATTTAATATTTGAATCTAAAAAAATGTTTCTCAATTATACCATGTTATTGTACACATATCTGGCTACTCACTATCATATAGAAATTTATAATTCAAAGATTACTTTTGGAAATTTTACCCTTTAAAAAATTTTTTTTAAGAGTTCCAAAAAACTATCTATGCCACATTAATCCCCAATGTTTCTACTTTAAGAAACTGTAAAAACACTCTGCCTTAACGTGCGGTCTTGTGAATAAATTGTTGTTTATAAATGGTGTCCATAATGTCGTCTGCCAATTCAATTTCCCTCCCATTTGTTTAAATACGCTAGTTGAATTAATGTTTCGCACAATTTTTACAATTTCGTTATTGTAAAAATTATATGGAATAATTGTGACAAATTTCTACTTTATCTGTCAGTTTTTTGATTTCAGAAATGTTACCCTGACAATAACATCAGCTCTTTTTAGGGCTATCACATATTTAACACGATGGAAAACCTTAAGTTCAATTATTTAACAAGAAAATTGCTGAAGAAAGTCAAGTTCTTGAATTTATTATTTAGATGGTTGGATTCCTCATTCAAAAATGCACAATTTAAAAAGAAAATTGATACAGACACGATTAGTCGTTTAGCAGAAAATTGAATGTCCAGAGATTTACCCGCTTTGTTCTACTGTGAGCCGGTTCTCAGCTGATACACGAGCTCAATCGATGACCTAGTGAAACTAGTGAATAGAATAAAATGAAACGACTGAAATCAATTCGTGGAACAGTTGAAGAACGCGCCTCTCAAGTAGAGTACTGATGACGAAAGAAATGAAAAAATCTAAATGACGGTAAGTACCTACCTAGCAATTATAAAGAAGAGAACGTGTGAAAGGTCGAGGAATTATTAAAATGAAGAACGGATGGAATTTTAAAATACGAGGTGTGGCAGTAATGTTTTGAGAATAATTTTGTTTTTCTCAAAGCGGCAATAATGTAACCGTAACAGTTACGTCGCCCGCTGCGTAATCTGACCCCCCCCCCCGCCTTCCAGCATACAAAAGGTAAAAATTATCAACCGTTTTAGTCATTGTGCAAATAGTTTCACGTGAAGACGTGTTTATGATGCGTATTACGTGAAAGATTGAGCGCCCACACATTTAGCCATTCTTGGGAAACAATTTCTAAATTCAAAGGCAAGCAAAACGTTGGACCACCCTTTGGGTTCGCTTCAATTTTCTCCATGGAATATTTTCTTACTTTTTCTAGTTTCTGAAACTTAAAGAAATGTAACTCGAGTACTAGAACAGACACCAGAAATTGAATAAGTTCGACCGGGGTCGAAAGTAACGAGTCAAATATTTTAACAGGTATCATAGCGATTAACGCAAGGGTTGGTTATATGATGAAAAATTTTATGTGAAATACACACATCAATAGTCTAGCACCCTAAATACGAAGTAAACATTTTCAATGAATGAAGTGACTTTTCGATCCCATAAAGATTTTTAGTGTTTGAAAATTCTGATATAAAAATTTCCTGTGCAAGTATGTGCTTTGTATTTTTAAAAACTTTTAATCTAATCCTTTTTGAGTGTAAGGATAATCAT